TCAGCCTCTTGAGTAGCTGGGATTACAAGCATGCACCACTACATCCGGCTAATTTTTCTATTTTTAGTAGAGATGGGGTTTTGCCATGCTGGTCTCTAACTCCTGACCTCAAGTGATCCATCTGCCTCGGCCTCCCAAAGTGCTGGGATTACAGGTGTGAGCCACCACACCCGGCCCTCACCCACTCCTTAAAATATCCCTACCAGGGTCTGTGGTTTATCTGTGCCTCAGTGTTCTCATCTGTAAAATGAGGATAATTTTAAGGATTATCTGAGTTAGCATCTGTGAAGGGGTTAGAATGTTACCTGGCACATAGTAGGTACTCAATAAACGGCATCACTGATATGGTTCCACGGATGGTTGTACTATTATTAGGAATAAAGTGTGGCTCTGGGCACCTGGAACCAGCCCCAGGGGCAGGCGGGGCTCTGCACAGGCTCTTTACCCCATGCCAGCAGGAGGACCCTTTGGGGGGAAACTGAGGCACTGATCATCCCTTGCCTTCCCAGCCCTGAGTCCTTCTCACCCATGCCCAGAGCCTCAGAGCCCGGCAAGGTGCCCCAAGAGAAAGCCACACTTCTGAACTGCACTGCCTGGCACAATTACCGTTTTCATCCTCATTAAACTACATTTTCATTCTAATTAGAGTTCCACCGCCTCCCAGAGAGAAGGGCCGATTACTTTTCAGCATCATTAACACTGGCTCCCTCCCCACTTTCCTCCTCCCCCGCCCAGGCTCCCACTACACCAGGGCATTCTCTCTCTCTCTCTCTCTCTCTCTCCCCGCTTCACCCCATGGACCAGAGAAAAGCAACAGAACATTTATTGTTGCCTCCTGGGTGCCAAGCTGGATGCTAGGAACCTTCCTCCACAGCCTCTTCACCTTATCTTGGCCTGGTCTAATTTTCTTTTTTCCCCCCAATACTAACCCCTTTTTGTTGTTTTGTTTTGTTTTGTTGAGACAGTCTTACTCTGTCGCCCCGGCTGGGGTGCAGGGGCATGATCTCGGCTCACTGCAACCTCTGCCTCTCGGGTTCAACTGATTCTCTCACCTCAGCCTCCTGAGTAGCTAGGATTACAGGCACACACCACCACCTGGCTAATTTTTATATATTTTTTTTTAGTAAAGAGGGGGTTTCACCAGGTTAGCCAGGCTGGTCTCAAACTCCTGATCCCAAGTGATCCACCTGCCTCAGCCTCCCAAAGTGCTGGGATTACAGGTGTGAGCCACTGCGCCAGCCCCGCTTTGAACATGGTCTATGCTTTATTCGTTCTTTTTATCCTCTGTCTCCCCCTCCCCAGAATGTCAACACCCACTCATGTCCCCCAAGAACTCCTGGGCACGCTAACCCCACAGCTTCTAAGAACCAGCTCCCGAGAAGTGGCTCTGGTTGCTGAGTGGGTGGAAAGTTCTGGAGAAGAAACACTCTCCTGGAGCAGTCCTTGAGCAATGGCTGATGGGAATGGGTGGATAAATATCCCAGCTCCCTCGCCCCTAGGTGGGAACCCTCGCAGTGTGTTCTATTTGGTTTCAGCATTCTCCAGCACAATTGAATTGCCCACAGTGGAAACTGGCTCATAAACACCCTTCATTGGCTACCTGCCCTTCCCTTCCTCACTCCCCTTCTCGCCTACCCATGTTTACTGAGATCATCTCTCAGATCAACCATATCCTAGATCTCCCAGGCCCTTTGGATTTCAGGCAAACCACATCTCAGAGAGGGACTCAACACACAAGGAACAGGTTAAGAAAGCCTCTGCAAGGCCAGGCATGGTGGCTCATGCCGGTAATCCAGTGCTTTGCGAGGCAGAGGCAGGAGGATCATTTGAGGCCAGGAGTTCAAGACCAGCCTGGCCAACATGATGAAACCCCATCTCTACTAAAAATACAAAAATTAGCTGGGCATGGTGGCTCATGCCTGTATTCCCAGCTAGTTGGGAAGCTGAGGCAGGAGAATCACTTGAACCCAGGAAGCAGAGGCTGCAGTGAGCTGGGATCATGTCACTGCACTCCAGTCTGGGCAACAAAGCGAGACTCCACGTCAAAAAAAAGACCAGCCTGGGTATCATAGTGAGATCCCATCTCTTAACAAAAAAAATTAGCTGAGCATGGTAGTGCATGCCTGTAGGCCCAGCTGTTTGGGAGGCTGAGGTGGGAGGATCACTTGAGCTCAGGAGTTTGAGGCTACAGTGAGCTATGATCGCACCACTGTACTCCAGCCTGGCTGACAGAGACCCCATCTCTTAAAAAATAAAATAAAAAATAAAGAAAGCCTCCGCGCCTCTCTCACTCTGGACAAAACCACTATTATGACCAGAAGGCAGCATCGCTGGGCAGCTATGACCTATATTTGAAATAAATTCTTAGAAAGGTTCCATTTGGAAGGGAGTGTAACCTGCATAGCACTTTTGGGGAGCAGCTTGGCAGAGTGCATTAAAATGTGAAGTGCAGGCCGTGTGCAGTGGCTCATGTCTGTAATCCCAGCACTTTGGGAGGCTGAGGTAGGTGGATCACTTGAAGTCACGAGTTCGAGGCCAGCCTGGCCAACATGGTGAAACCCCATCTCTACTAAAAATACAAAAATTAGCTGGGCTTGGTGGTAATGTGCTTGTAGTCCCAGCTACTTAGGAGGCTGAGACAGGAGAATTGCTTGAACCCAGGAGGCAGAGGTTGCAGTGAGCAAAGATTGCACCACTGCACTCCAGCCTGGGCGAGGTGACAGTGTGAGACTCTGTCTCAAAAAAAAAAAAAAAAAAGTGAAGTGCAGCCAGGTACAGTAGTTCACGCATGTAATCCCAGCACTTTTGGAGGCCAAAGTGGGAGGGTTGCTTGAGCCCAAGGGTTCAAGACCAGCCTGGGCAATATAGCAAAACCCTGTCTCTACAAAAAAATATACAAAATTAGCCAAGCATGGTGGTGCTCACCTGTAATCTTAGCTACTTGGGAGACTAAGGTGGGAGGATCCCCTGAGCCCTGGAGGTTGAGGCTGCAGTGAGCTATGATTGCACCACTGCACTCCAGCCTGGGCAACAGGGCAAGACTCTGTCTAAAAAAAAATTAAATAAATAAATAAATAAAGACACCAGTCATATTGGATTTAGGGTCCACCCTAATCCAATGTGACCTCACATTAACTTAACTGATTATATCTGCAAAGACCCTGTTTCTAAATAATTCATTCAGGAGAACTGAGGGTCAGGACTTCAACATATATATATATTTTTTGAGACAAGAGTCGCTCTGTCACCCAGGCTGGAGTGCAGTGGCACAATCTCGGCTCACTGAAAGCTCCGCCTCCCAGGTTCACGCCATTCTCCTGCCTCAGCCTTCTGAGTAGCTGGGACTACAGGCACCCGCCACCACGCCTGACTAATTTTTTGTATTTTTGGTAGAGACGGGGTTTCACCATGGTCTCAATCTCCTGACCTCGTGATCCGCCCGCCTCGGCCTCCCAAAGTGCTGGGATTACAGGCGTGAGCCACTGCGCCTGGCCAATATTTTTTTTTTTTTTGAGACGGTCTCGCTCTGTTGCCCAGGCTGGAGTGCAGTGGCATGATCTCCACTCACTGCAACCTCTGCCTCCTAGGTTCAAGTAATTCTTGTGCCTTAGCCTCCTGCACGCCACCACGCCCGGCTAATTTTTGTATTTTTGGTAGAGATGGGGTTTCATCATGTTACCTAGGCTGGTCTCAAACTCCCGATCTCAAGAAATCTACCCACCTCAGCCTCCCAAAATGCTGGGATTACAGGCATGAGCCACTACACTCAGCCTTCTGTTTTTTGTTTTTTGTCTGTTTGTTTTTAATAGAGATAGGGTCTTGCTATGTTGCCCAGACCAACCTCAAACCCCTGGCCTCAAGCAATCCTCCTGCCTCAGCCTCTCGAAATTCAAATTATAGCCTGGAAACAGGCATGAGCCACCGCACCAGAATCAACATATCTTTTTTCGTTTTTTTTTTTTTTTTTTTTTTTTTCAAGACACAGTCTCACTTTGTCACCCAGGCTGGAGTGAAATGGCGCAATCTCAGCTCACTGCAACTTCTGCCTCCCGGGTTCAAGCGATTCTCTTGCCTCAGCCTCCTGAGTAGCTGAGACTACAGGCAAGTGCCACCACACCTGGCTAATTTTTGTATTTTTAATAGAGACGGGGTTTCGCCATGTTGGCCAGGCTGGTCTCCAACTCCTGACTTCTGGTGATCAGCCTGCCTTGGCCTCCCAAAGTGCTGAGATTACAGGCATGAGCCACCGCGCCTGGTCGACAGCCCCATTTTACAGACAGAAAACTGATACCCAGGTACATGGATTGTCGGTGAGCAGATCACACAGCTGGTAAGAGGCAGAGCTGGTCTCAGTGGCTGCTGAGCCCTTACGTGTATGTGACATGAAACACAGAGGGTCATTTATGTATTCCAACAACCTTGCAAGGCAGAAAATACCTTCATGTTATAGATGAGGAAACGGAGGCAAGGAGCGAGTAAGCAACTTGCCTGAGGTCAGGTGGGTGCCAGAGCAGGGACTTGAGCCTCGGGAACTGACCATGGGACCCTCTGGGGGACCACGGGCTCCATCTCCTGGGCGGTGGAATGAGGGTCTCTTTCAGCACAAATGTTCTATAACCACAGGGAGAAACAGGGACTGCAGCCTATTCCCCCAGGACTGAGCAAGGGAGAAGCCCTGACTGGTTAATACCTTCCAGGTAGGCCAGGTGTGGTGGCTCACACCTGCAATCCCAGCACTTTGAGAGGCTGAGGTGGGCAGATCACAAGGTCAGGAGTTCGAGACCGGCCTGGGCAACATGAGACCCCCCCATCTCAAAATAAAAGAAAAAAGACATTTCAGATGGGACTACACATAGGCCCTGCTCTTGGCCCAGGCAGCAACTGCCATGCTCTGGGGACCTGAGTCAGCTTCTAGGTATTTCAGAGCCCAAGGATCCACCAGAGCCACTCTCACCGCACAGGGGTTATTAATGAATGCTAATTAATATCTGTGTTCACAGAGCCAGCCAGGCCCCTGGGCCTGGAGCATCCACAGGAGGAAAGTACAAGAACCCCAGCACCCTGCCAAGCAGCAGGGACTCTTCAGATGCCCGAGGGCTGGTTTGCCCAGAGCCAGCTGGGAAGGACTCATGGTGACCAGAAGGGGAAACTGAGGCACTGCTGAGCACCAACAGTCCTGGAGAGCTTTAAGAATGGTTGCCATCTGAGGCCAGGCACAGTGGTTCATGCCTATAATCCCAGCACTTTGGGAGGCCAAGGCAGGCGGATCACTTGAGGTCAGGAGTTCGAGACTTGTCAGGCCTCTGAGCCCTAGCTAAGCCATCATATCCCCTGTGACCTGCACGTAGACATCCAGATGGCCTGAAGCAACTGAAGATCCACAAAAGAAGTGAAAATAGCCAGTTCCTGCCTTAACTGATGACATTCCACCATTGTGATTTGTTCTGGCCCAACCCTAACTGATCAATGTCTTTGTGACAATACACCCTCCCCACCCTTGTGATAATGTACTTTGTGATACTCCCCCGCCCTTATGAATGTACTTTGTACCATACACCTTCCCCACCCTTGAGAAGGTACATTGTAATATTCTCCCTGCCCACCTTGAGAATGTACTTTGTACAATCCACCCCCTCCCTGCAAAAAGATTGCTCCTGGCCAGGCGCCGTGGCTCACGCCTGTAATTCCAGCACTTTGGGAGGCCGAGGTGGGTGGATCACGAGGTCAGGAGATGGAGACCATCCTGGCTAACACTGTGAAACCCGGTCTCTACTAAAAATTAACAAAAAATTAACCAGGCGTGGTGGCAGGCGCCTGTAGTCCCAGCTACTCAGGAGGCAGAGGCAGGAGAATGGCGTGAACCTGGGAGGTGGAGCTTGCAGTGAGCCGAGATCGCACCACTATACTCCAGGAAAAAAAAAAAATTGCTCCTAACTCCACCACCTATCCCAAACCTATACGAACTAATGATAATCCCACCACCCTTTGCTGACTCTCTTTTCGGACTCAGCCCGCCTGCACCCAGGTGATTAAAAAGCTTTATTGCTCACACAAATCCTGTTTGGTGGACTGTCTTCACATGGACGTGTGTGACAGAGACCAGCCTGGTCAACATGGTGAAACCTTGTGTCTACCAAAAATACAAAAATTAGCCAGGCATGGTGGCACGCACCTCTAATCCCAGCTACTTGGGAGGCTGAGGCAAGAGAATCTCTTGAACCCAGGAGACAGGAGGCAGAGGTTGCAGTGAGCTGAGACTGTGCCACTGCACTCCAGTCTGGGCAGCAGAGTGATACCCTGCTCCATCCCCTCCCCACACAAGAATGGTTGCCATTTGAAAGGAACAAAGAAATGGGTGTTGGAGACCCCAGAGCCATCAGCTTCCACAAGAGCTCTGGACCTTACCCCAGCCTCAGCTTCCTCATCAGTAAATGAGAACATGAATTTCTTTCCTTATATGTAGTAGGCATAAGAACTCATTAAGCATTTGTGCATGTGAAATGCTTTGCAGGTAATCAGTTTCCAATAGGTGTTAACTCCCTTTCCCTCACTGTGCCTCAGTTTCCCTCTTGGGCATACAAGAAGCCGGCGGGGCTTTGAGGCTACCCTCTGGGAGGACTTCAGGCATGGTGCCTTGACTTAGACCTCGGGGCAAGTATGAAAAATCACTTCTGATTGGCCTCATTAATAACACAGTTGCTAATGTGGCAGTAAGACAGTTCCCTAGCCCCTGATTAAAAACAGAAGTTTCCCCCACATTCGTGGAGATGGAGCAGAAGGGAAAACAAAGACAAGCACACTTGTGCCAGATAAATACAGACGCAAACACATGCATGGCAGATAAACACACACTGGCACACCAAATATACACACAGCCGGCTGCAGACATCCGGGTGGGCTCGCACAGCCCGGCTCGCACAGCCCAAAGAGACCCCCAGGAAGAGCCGCCCCAAAAGGAAGAGAAACCGCTGCAGAGATGTCCTGCTGGACCCTGGCCACATCTGGGACCTGATCACTTCAGTGTACTGGAACAGGAGACAGAAGTGGGGGAAATTAACATCCCTGGGAGTAGCCCTGAGCCAGAGATGGAATGAGTTGGTGGATAAATACCCCAGCTCCCTCCCCAGCAGATGCCTAATCCACAGTCTCCCAGAGATCCCTGGAGGGGTCAGGCTTCAGTTTTCCACAGTGACAACCTGTCTGATATCCCTTGTCATCTCTCTTCTCCCCTCCCCAGGTTTCCAGTGTTCATTTCCCAAATAAACCACTTGCCCTCCAACCCTGTATCAGGGTCTGTTTCTGACCTGTATGTGTACCTCCCAGAAGTATATACAGCTATGGATCTCAATGAGGGTGACTCCGTCCCCCAGGAGACATTTGGCAATGTCTGAAGGTATTTCCGGCTGTAAAACTGGGGCAGGGGGCCAGACACAGTGACTCACACTTGTAATCCCAGCACTTTGGGAGACCAAAGTGGGCGGATCACTTGAGGTGAGGAGTTTGAGACTAGCGTGGCCAACATGGGGAAAATCCCGTCTCTACCAAAAATACAAAAATTAACCAGGTGTGGTGGTGAGTGCCTGTAATCCCAGCTACTCGAGGGGCTGAGGTGGGGGAATCACTTGAACCTGGGAGGCAGAGGTTGCAGTGAGCCAAGATCATTCCACCTCACTCCAGCCTGGGCGACAGAGTGAGACTCCATCTCAAAAAAAAAAAAAAAAAAAAAAAATTGGGGGCAGGGGTACTCCTGACATTTAGTGGGTCCAGTTCAGGGACGCTCAATGTCCTACAAGGGACTGGGCAAGGTGACTAAAGCCTGTGATCCCAGCACTTCAGGAAGTCAAGGCAGGAGGATCAGTTGAGGCCAGGAGTCCAAGGCCAGCCTGGGCAACATAGCAAGACTTCATCTCCCCTGCAAAAAAAAAAAAATCCTACAAGGCACAGAACAGTCCCCCAGAGCAAAAAATGATGTGGCCCCAAATGTCAAGAGTGCTGAGGTTCAGAAGCCCTGGTCTACGGGAAGCCACTGGGCCCCACGTGGAAACAGCTGAGTGCACACACATCATTCGAATGCAGATACACAGTGGGTGCACCGGCAGCATTAGGCCACACACACCCACTGTGCACCAAGTGTTCGAACTAGGGAAACAGGATCATCCACTCCTGGTGTGTTTTCCTACCAAGATGTACAGACCACCAGAGGAGACCCCCAATTCCACCCTGCCCAGACCAGCTTCTTGTGCAACTAACTCACAGACACTCTGGAAAGTGCTTCAATGACCATTAAACCCATTTTACAGACGAGACAACTGAGGCCCAGACAGGGGCAGTTTTTTGTTGTTGTTTTTTTGTTTTTGTTTTTGTTTTGAGACAGAGTCTCGCTCTGTTGCCCAGGCTGGAGGGCAGTGGCACCATCTCAGCTCACTGCAACCTCTGCCACCTGGGTTCAAACGATTCTTATGCCTCAGCCTCCCAAGTAGCTATAGGCGTGTGCCACCACACCCAGCTAATTTTTGTATTTTTAGTAGAGACAGGGTCACACCATGTTGGCCAGGCTGTTCTTGAACTCCTGACCTTAAGTGATCCTCCCATCTCGGCCTCCCAATGTGCTGGGATTACAGGTGTGAGCCACTGTGCCCAGCCCAGACAGGAGAAGTTTATGACCCAGCAAGAAACCCAGAGGCCCCTGAGGCATGTGTAGACACGTGTTTGAAGGCAAAGAGGGCAGGATGAAAAGAGACCCTCCCCACCATCATCTCGGAGTTGAGATAAGGAGGGACAGAAAGGACTTTAGCTTCCCAGAAGAAATCCTGTATCACTTTGGGTAACTAGAAAATCCACTGAAAAATGTTTTTAGGCTGGGCGAGGTAGTGCTCGCCTGAAATCTCAGCACTGAGGGAGCCCGAAGCAGGAGGATCTCTTAAGCCCAAGAGTTGGAGACCAGCCCGGGCAACATGGCAAGACTTCTCATCTCTACAATAAATAAAATACAATTTTTGTTGTTGTTGTTTGTTTGTTTTAGACGAAGTTTCACTCTTTCTGCCCAGACTGGAATGCAATGGCGTGATCTCTGCTCACTGCAACCTCTGCCTCCCAGGTTCAAACGATTCTCCTGCCTCAGCCTCCTGAGTAACTGGGATTACAGGTACACGCCACCATGCCCAGCTAATTTTGTATTTTTAGTAGAGATGGGGTTTCGCCATGTTGGTCAGGCTGGACTTGAAATTTTGACCTTCAGTAATTCACCCACCTCAGCGTCCCAAAGTGCTGGGGTTATAGGCATGAGCCACCACGCCGGGCCAAATACAATGTTTTTTAAACATACATTGTTTTTTAAACATTAGCTGACTCTTGGCCAAGCATGGTGGCTCACGCCTGTAATCCCAGCACTTTGGGAAGCTGAGGTGGGCAGATCACTTGTGGTCAGGAGTTCAAGACTAGCCTGGTCAACGTGGTGAAACGCTGTCTCTACTAAAAATACAAAAAATGAGCTGGGCATGGTGGCGTGTGCCTGTAATCCCAGCTACTCAGGAGTCTAAGGCAGGTGATCGCTTGAACCCAGGAGGCGGAGGTTGCAGTGAGCCAAGATCTTGCCACTGCACTCCAGCCTGGGTGACAGAGCAAAATCCTGTCTCAAACAAACAAACAAAATGGGCTGACTCTGGACTCACACAGGCCTGGTGTCTCCAATCCCAGCCTTGCCATTTTCTGGCTCTATGAACCTGGGTAAGCCGCATCGCCTCCCTGAGCCTCAGTTTCCCCATCTGAAAAACGGGGATTCACCCATTCGCTGTTCTACAAACGTGCACCCAGGACCCACTGACACCAAACCCTGCGCACAGCTTTAACCTATATAAAGTTAAGGCAGAACACGAACAGGGTAAGTGTGTTCACCCCTCCCCCAGGCACGGAGCTGCTGAACTAGTTTTGGGAATGGGGGAATCAGAGCATGCGTGGACAGAGGGAGGGAGCCCTCAGCTGCCCGGACCCTGCAGCCCACCACCCCTACTCTTCTCAGATCCCCCTCATCTGAACAAAAAGCCCCTCTAGAAGGACGTAGGACCCCAAGCAGGATCCCAGGGCTTGGCGTCCAAATCCAGGCCAGGAACTGACCTCAGTAGCCAGACAGGTGAGGGGGCTAAAGCTCCGGGTTTTCCACCTCCGCTTCCCGCCGCTGCAGCGCGGGGAGCGAGCGCCACCTGTGGGCCGCCAAGGGGAGGTGCGTACGACTCCCGGGGAAGTGGATGGAAGTGGATGGTCGCCCTCCTTTCTCCCCAACCCGGGAGGCCCTGGAGCCCCCCAGGAGTTTCGGAAACAGCTCTCATCTCTTAAATTCTCCTCCACAACCCACTTTTCTCAGCTGCCGTTTCCCAGCTAGAACTCGTCGTCCACGTATTCATGCAACGTTTATCGAGCACCTACTCTGTATTGAGCAAACCTAGATCATTGCTCTAGGTGTAGCCTACACAGAAGACAGAATAGGGCTGGCTCAGGCCTGTAACCCCAGCCACTCAGGAGTCTGAGGTGGGAGGATCATTTGAGCCCAGAAGATGGAGGCTGCAGGGAGTCATGATCGCACCATCGCACTCCAGCCTGGGCAACAGAGCAATACCCTGTCTCTAAAAGTAAAAAGAGGCCAGGCACGGTGGCTCACGCCTGTA